AATAGTAAAAGCTGACAGATTAAAAAGTTAATAAAAGTATTATTAATTTATATTTGTTCAAAGAAAGTCTCATTAGGTGTACAATTCTTAAAAATAAAATAGCATCTTTTACAAGTGTTGTTTCCGCTGCTACTTTTTCCGCGACTACCTTTTGAACTTTCAGTCTGTCTATAGTTTTTTCACTTTTACAATACTCAATAAGGAAAAGTTATTCGCCATTTTAGTTGATAAATTACTCAAGTAGCAAGCAAACATTTTTTGGAAAACGACAGTATACGAAAATTGCACAGAAACAATAATAATTAAAACGGTAGTTGCTTTGTCACTACTTTTTTTCAAGCAAATTGTTCTATAAAAAACAGCAACAAGCAAACGTCACTGAAATAGCAGCTAAATTTGTCAATAGAGCATATCTGACTAATAGAATTAAATGCAAAAGAAGACCAAATACAATAATAAACAAAAATTAAGCAATAAACAATTGATTGAGGAAAACTGACTGTTTTGATAACCGGGTAGCACCCAGACATAATTTTTGCCAAACATTTGTTGTCGATATACCTCACACATTATACGAGTTGCAAGAAGTTCCGAAAAATCACCGATAAATATCCGTAAATCACGTTTCTGCAATGTATCAAAATATACAATTATTCTCGTTGTTAATTCCAATTACTATTGAAAGTAATCAGCCCTTTTCCCCAGGCTTTGTTTGACTGCTCATTTTTATACCTTTTCGACCACTTAAGCATCGTTTTTAAAGGTCTCATTTATTTGCATGTTCGTATACGTATGTATTACTGCGTTTTTTGGAGTGTCGTTTAGTAAAATACAACTTCCTACCAATATGCCACCAAAAAAAAAAAGAAAAAAAAAAAACGACGCCACTGCTATTTGCAGTTATAAAGGCTTCCAAGGGCAACCAGTCACCTAATTCTTTTGCAACACATTCAAAATTTCTAAGCAAAAAGAAAATGCATTTCGATTTTATTTTAGACTTTCTTCTTTCCACTTTGTCTTCTTACCTTCAAAGAATGCAATTATCTCACCAACAAAAAATTACTGCTTATGGGTCCGGTAAACTTTTTTTTTTGCTTTTGAAGGGTATCATATGTAATACACCATCCATCGCATTCCACTATCACCAGTGACAACACCAACAAATTCCTGAATAGATCGATCCCTCGGGACTCGTGCTTACTGTGTCTCCCCAACCTCTTCCCGTCATAACACCACCTCCCTCCGACAACCTCCCTCTGCCAGCCCTCTGTTCTCTCTTCTCTTCTATACAAAAAATAAAACAAAATAAAGTGCAGCAAGTTTAATTTTTTAGAAAATCCAGTTGATTTTTCAAAAACATTTTTCATATTTTTATACAAATATCCACCACACGCTATTCAGACTTCAGAATTTGTAAAAGAAACAACTACAGCAGTAAAACAGCTCGAGAAAATAAATAGCTGCAGTTTTTATACCAGATAGAAAACTGTAATATGATTGGCAACTTTTCATTTCTGTTCTTGTTATTTTCTCGATCCCTTTGTTGCTGAGCCAAAAGAAAGAAAAAGATGAGCGTAGGCAGAAGTCCCAAGCGTAACAAATTCATTAGATTCGTAATTTGTTCTTTATTATCCATTCAGTAGCTTTTGGTTATATTTTTTATTGGTGCGATAGCTTAAGCTTTGGTGGCGGAATGTAAGCTAAACTAAAACTGTTTGAATTTATCAAACCCTTGTTGCAATGGTTTCTTATGTGCATCTCAACCGTCGTTTAGTTGCAGTCGAATCTTCAGATAAAAAGCACAACAAAGGCTCATTTTGATGCCGTTTCCGTCACCATCAATACCAGTGACATTACTGCCAGCAGCTACCACCATCGTTGTGGTCGTTGGCATTCCGTTTGCATCAACTCATTCACTTTTCATCATTGTGGGTAACAAATTTAAACAAAAAAAAAAAAGCAGCAGAGAATGTGCTGTGTTATGTGTGGGGTAAAAAGTACGCTGATCTATAGGCGAATATGATGTTGCATGAAAAAACTCTTATTTTTAAACTAACCAAAATATATTCATTTATCGTTTCCATGCTTCCCTAACCCTTCTTATTCGCCATTTCTCATTTTGCTACCCCGCACTTTCTCAAACTCCCTTAGATACTTCCCGTCTTTCACTTATCTTCTGCCTCCTTCTTTTTTTTCCCCTATCCCCTTTCCTTCCCATCATATAAAAGTGGAACGTCTGAGTAATTTTCTTTCCTTCCTTGTTTCCGTAATGGAACAAAAATCTTGGACTAGAATGAGTGTATTTAGTTAAAAAGTTAAAAGTATTAATATGTGTATGTATATTCAGATTTGTAAATATTTGTTTCACTTTTATTCCGAGAAAATAACTTGCCTTAAGTTCGATAAGCCCATGTTCAATATTTTCCAATTCGTTATGACTTATACCAGCCGTATAGTTAACATTTACTCGATATTTATGTTCCAACATTATTGTAAGCCATTCATGAGGCTGTAATAAAAATTTATTGCAACAACGAAAGTCACAACGGAAGCAACAAAAATAAGCATTTTACAATTGACACTGCTACTGTGAAA